TCCTGAGTAGCTGGGACTACAGGTGTCCGCCACCACGCCTGGCTAATTTTTTGTATTTTTAGTAGAAACGGGGTTTCACCGTGTTAGCCAGGATGGTATCGATTTCCTGGCCTTGTGATCCGCCTGCCTCGGCCTCCTAAAGTGCTGGGATTACAGGCGTGTGGATTCATTTTTAACATTTTGGCTTTGCTCAGCATACTCTTGATTTGTTCTTTCCTGTTTCAGTCTGTCTTCTGTTGCATTGATAATTTTTTTTTCTTTCTACTGATTTAGAAAGTGTAAATTGTATTTTTGTTCCTAAAATTATCCTTAAATTATATACATGTATACATATATAATTTTTAAATGCCCAAAGTTATTATTATTTTTTTCTAAAGTTATTCTATAACATTTTTTCCTTGTATGTCCCCCTCCTTCTCCTTGGGTGTATTTTTTTCTCTTTTTGACTTACTATCTTTAGAAATACTTCTGTAGCTGATTGGAAGAAACTATACATATCAGGATGGTAATTTTAGAGTTTATCACATAAACCAATAAACTAGGGCTCTGATGTACACTAAGAAAAGTAATAAAAAAGAAAACCCTTCAGCACAATAGTTGGAACATGAATTCGTTCCCTTCTTCCTCAGAGCCTTTGACCAATCTTCCCTCTCCTTGGAGTGCTTTACACTACTAGCCACATTGATGGTTCTTTCACTAGCTCCTAGTCTCTGCTCCTGAAGAAACATGAGCACATATGAATAAAAAGAGGAATTACTTAAAAGCTTTATTGCCATTTTATATTTTATGGTTAAAAAATAACATTTTAAGTGTTGATCAATAGGAGAAAGGCTGTATAAACTGAAGTATATCCTCAATATGATGCAGTATGGCAGAAGGCCCCATATGTGTTAATACAATAAGACCTAAAGATTTATTATTGAGTTTTTGAAGTGAGTTACAAAAAGGTATGCACAAGATGTATCATTTTATTACATTGTAAAACTATAAATGAAATACCATATATTTCAACTGTTTCATATATTTTGTATATGTATGTAAACAGCATCAACTACAAATTGATTAGATGAAAGAATAAGGGTAATAAGGGATGAAAGGACTAGAATTGGGAGTGGTGGTCAAAGGAGATTTTAGTCTATCTGGAATGCTGTATTACTTTAAATAATTTCATATATTTGTGAATTCTTCCTAGCATTAAACCAAAAAAAGTCATAAAAACTATCACAAAGATTTATCCACATTCTTTTCTATTCTTCTCATAGAAAAGGGGAGAGAGGAGAAAATGATCACCTTCTTCATTATATTTTGTTCAATCTTCCTAAGTATAAGTATTTTTCCTGCCTCTGGGATCATACAGCTTCTAGTTTACACTCCTCTTAGAGTCCTACTGTGTGATTTGTATTAGAGATATGCATTTTTGTCACTCCAGTAGACTATAAACTAGAGTAACGTCCACTTTTAAGTATTCTTCAAGCCTAGTAAATAATTCACTTATAGTAAAACTTCAATACATGTTTTTGGACTTATTTCGAACTAAATTAAAGGAATTAAGAGAAGAGTACAAAATGAGAATTGCCAAATTAAGATATTAATTTCCACAAAATGACATTTTAAAAGTGGTAATTGGTTCATTCTTAATCCCCATTCATTCCAGACAGTTGTAATGTTTTCTGACCACCTCCATTTCCTTCATAGGAAACATGAAGTGAAAGGGGCTGGGCTGTGTGACTACTGAGGAATTAGTCGGTCTGAAGTGATCTTTGTTGATTGCTTCAGTCCACTAGGGGGCACTCTAGGATCTCCAGAAACGAAGACTTTTTCTGATGGTCCCAAAGGGTGGAACAATTAAAAGAGCAGACAAGGAGGCTTGTGAGTCAGTCAAATCACAGATAACAAGGAACTGCAGTGGAATGGGGGGCAGTGCGTGTGTAAAGTTCATCTTAGGTTTTCAGCTCTGACATTCTATATAAAACCTCAGAAAGTTGGAGTTCATAGGTCTATGAATCCATTGTGAGGATGATTCTGTAAGCAGAGGTAAGGGAATTGGAGTTTTACTGGGAATTGGGAGGATGGACACTCAATAGAAAACATCTCTCTTACCTATTTTCAGTTTTTAAATTTTTATGACTAAAATTCCTGAAATTCGCTGACATGGAAATTATTCCAAAATACCCCTGATATCTGATTTCTTCATATATCTTCTCTGAGACTAAAAGGAACAAGAATAAGCAGGAAAGAAGAAAATAGGGAGGAAATAAGGACCAAAACCAGAAAGAGAATAGAGAGGAGAATATTTAATTTGACCAGCAATATGTGGCCTGATCATAACAGCTGTGTGGGCCTGCAGGGTGTGTAGGAAAAGGGCTGGATGGCGTGCGAGAGGTAGAAATTAAATCAGGGTGGATATCACACACATATCCTATTTTTCTTTTAATCAAACAAACTCTAGTTGGAAACATTTTCTATGCAGAAAATCTCCTGATTTCAAGAAATTGTATTTATTTCTAAATCCATCATGCATGCTATCAAAAAGTTTTCCTTATTAAAATTTTCATATAATTGAATCGTACAATTTTCTGTCAAACTATGTAATTTGGGCTTCCCATGATTCTTCAAGGCTCTACTTTACCCAGCTGAGACACGGATTCGTCTCAGACGTATCATCCTCTTTCTTCACATACTATCCTACAATTTCTCTTACATAAAGTACTGTAAGGAAAAAAAACCCTATAACTTTATACATTGGAAATATTGGCTCTTCCTCCCTTGCACTATTCCCACCCAGAATTTTAGAGAGATTACTCTGCAGTCTCAAGGGTCACTGCTGGTGGAGTTTCCTATTTAGATGAATGACAGAACTCAGGTGTGATTGGTGGTCAGGAAGTCTGGTGCAAACTATTGACTGTAAGAACAAGTTTTTCTGGACCCAAGACTTGACCCCTTCCAGAGCAGGGGCAAAGGTACTCCAGCAACCAGGCAAGCAGCCATGGAAAGGAGACTGGGAGCTCTCTTGGGGTTTCTGTGGGTCCAGGTTTGCTGTGAGTTGGGCCGTCCCAGATGGGGGCTGTGGGACCCCCATGTTCCGTGACTGACAGGGGAAGGAGGGGAAGGGAGGGAAGGGAGAGCTGACACAAAGCTCCTGGACTGTCCTACAGCCTCATGAGTGTTTCTAGGGATATTTTACAGGTTTGGAAACTGCATCAGTGATTCCTTAGTGACATAATACATATTTGCTTTTCTCTTTCTGAGCAGGGGTGAGAGGAGTGAAGGTGGAGCAGAGTCCTTCAGTTCCGAGTCTCCAGGAGAGAACTAGCTCTACTATGAGCTGCAGTTTTTCTGCCTCTGCGAACAACGTGCAGTGGTTCCAACAGAAACGTGGGTTGGCCTCATCAATCTGTTTTTCATGGCTTCATGGATGAAACACAATGGAAAGTTTTGGTTAAAAGGAAACTCTAAGGAGCTCTGTGGTACCCTACACATCACAGCCGCCCAACTGAAAGACTCAGACACCTACTTCCCTGCAGTGGAGGCACAGTTCTCCCAGGACATCTGTAGCCTGGATCTGAACTGCAGCTGGGCCTGCAGCCCCAACCCCTACCATGAGACAGGCATGTTGCCCCCACAGTATTACTTGCACAGCTTTAGGTTTTCTGATTGATGTTGCACTTTTATCTCTGCTAAAATTAGACATTTCAGGATTGCCATTTAACTTTTTTGTTCTACCCTTTTACTCTCAGAAATCTGTGTGCAGGAAAAAACTTTGATATGGAACCACTGGAGCAACTTATAAAGATACCAGGACCCAATGGACTGTTAAAACAGATCCTCTAGCAGAAAGCATATAAATTATACATAAATTACTATGACAAAAAAGGTTTGAAAAAATATATGCTGCTCAACAAATAGCAAAGAGATGACTCAGTGTTTCATCTAAATGCAGGTTGTTCACTTTTCTAGTAAAAGGGAAGAGGAGCATGTGTGACGTATATTATATATATATTTTAATATTGGTATTCATATTTTTTACTCCTGGAACCCATAAAAGATAAAATTTTAAGGCTCATAATGTCATTGGGTGTCAGACATTCTCTGAATTCACATAGATTACCTAGGTGCTGACAATACCTCTTTACACATGAATAAACTGAGGATTATAAGGATTATAGGGCACACATGTCTTCATGTCTTGCCTGAGCTCAGATATTTATGAAACTAGCAGTGAAGCTGGGCTGGGATTCCCCTTCTGGATGTATGAAAGCAGAGTGTGTACTCTAAGCTACACACTGTAGAAGACTCTTTAGAATCACCAAATACCAATTATTTCAATTGATAAATTTGTGCAATGTGCTCACATACATCACTGGCAAATATATCCGTTTGAATAATTTCTTTTCTTTTCTTTTTTTTTTTTATGAGACAGTCTTGCTCTGTTGCCCAGGCTGGAGTGCAGTGGCGTGATCTCGGCTCACTGCAAGCTCCGCCTCCCAGGTTCATGCCGTTCTCCTGCCTCAGCTTCCCAAGCAGCTGGGACTACAGGTGCCCGCCACCACGCCCGGCTAATTTTTTGTATTTTTAGTAGAAACGGGATTTCACCATGTTAGCCAGGATGGTTTCGATCTCCTGACCTTGTGATCCGCCCGTCTCAGCATCCCAAAGTGCTGGGGTTAGAGGCGTGAGCCAGTGCACCCGGCCTCTGTTTGGATAATTTCTAAATTGCACCTAGTAAGAAAGAGTTCATTAAACTTTTCATTTTGTTCCATTAAAATCCATTTGTCTTCCTTCATTACTCATGATTTTGTAACATCATTCAAGGTCTAGAAAAGAGAGCAGAAACTTCTAGGGTTGCCCCCAAAAAGCTTAACCTACGGTAGCCACAGTCCAAGACTTCTGGCAAGCAAACCCAAAGTTTAAACCTCAATGTGGATCAGTTAAAACACTTGTAGAATTTCAACCTTACCAGGTCTGTTATGTGAATGTAAGAGAATGGATTAGGAAGGACTGGGGCCCTGAGAACCAAGATAAAGACGACCAGGCAGTCTCCAATGAAACCGGGAGCAGGGCCAGCTTCCTGGGTATGTGACCTGATGCAGCCCAGCGGACCCTGGTTAATGCTCTGCTATCGCTGCCTTGACATTTTTAATAGTTTTGTTTTTAAACTTGTGTAAGTGAAGTTCAGTGAGAGGACAGAGCATGTAGGTGAGCAGAGGAGATAAACAGGACAGCAGGACACAGGACAGAATCACATGCGGGCTCAGGTTCATGGCAAAGTGGGCAGCGTATGAGCTGAGCAGTTGGATGGGCTATTTTGAGTACATGAACACACAGGGGTCTCTGGTGTTCTGCGGCTATCCAAAGTGAGTGGCAGTAAACTTTTCAGGAAATTATTACACAATGGAAGCATATACATGGACAAGGTGATAAGGTATATTGGAGAGTTATTAGAATCTTTCAAAAAGTTTAGAGACTGTGGTTTTGAAAGTTGATATAACATTACAGTTTGAATATCTGCAGGTGTAGAAATAGAAATTACATGTAAGGATAGCAGCTTAATGAAAAGAACATCATTTTCTTACTTTTTAATGCTATCTTCTTTTGTTTTTTTTTCTTAACATCTTTTTTTTTCAACTTTTACTTTAGAATTGGGGGTTCTTTTGCAGGTTTGGTACAATAGTATGTTATGTGATGCTAAAGTTTGGAGTTATAATGAATCCAATACCCAGATAGTGAGCATAGTGCTGAAAAGGTGATTTTTTTTGAATCCTTAACCCCCTCCCTCTGTCCCCTCTCTTGTATTCTCCCGGGTCTACTGTTCTCATTTCTATGACCTTGTGTACCTAATGTTTAGCCCCTACTTATAAGTGAGGACATGTCATATTTGGCTTTATGTTTCAGTGCTAGTTCACTTAGGATAATGGTTTCCAGCCGCATCCGTGGCTGCATAGCAGTCCATGTTGTATATGTACCATGTTTTCCTTATCAAATCCACTGCTGATGGGCACCTGGGTTGATTCCATGTCTCTGCTATTGTGAATAGTGCTGTGACGAACATATAGGTACACATGTCTTTGGTAGGGTGGTTTATTTTCCTTTGGTTATATAGCCAGTAGTGGAATTGCTGGGTGGAATCGTAGTTGAACTCTCAGTTCTTTGAGAAATCTCCGAACTGCTGTCTACAGTTGCTGAACTGATTTACATTCCCACCAACAGTGTATAAGTGTTCCCTTTTCTCCACAGCTTTATCAACATCTGCTATTTTTTTGGCTTTTTAACAAAAGCCAAACATTGTGATTTTGGTTTGCATTTCTCTGGTGATTAGTGATGAACATTTTTTTCATGTGTTTCTTGGCCACTTGTTTTTTTTTTTTTTTTTTTGAGAAGTATCTGAAGAACATTATTTTCATGTGAAGTTTTGAACAGCCATGTTTTAACATAGAGGATAATACTGAAATTAATTAACTTTTTTTTTTTTTTTTGAGACAGACTCTCACTCTGTCACCCAGGCTGGAGTGCAGTGGTGCGATCTCAGCTGACTGCAACCTCTGCCTCCTGGGTTCAAGTGATTCTCCTGTCTCAGCCTCCTGAGTAGCTGAGATTACAGGCCCCTGCCACCATGCCTGGCTAATTTTTGTATTTTCAGTAGAGATGGCGTTTCACCAAGTTGGTCAGGCTGGTCTTGAACTCCCGACCTTGTGATCCACCTGCCTCGGCCTCCCAAAGTGCTGGGATTACAGACATGACCCACTGAGCTTGGTCTGAAATTAATTTTTAATAATTAAAGACAGTGAAAAAATGAATAAACAAGGATTGTGGATTCTATCTACATCATTAAACCATTTCCAGCTTTTTTATACAGCTTCCACAAGTCACTAAAAATTTCAGAGGAAACATTAAAACAGCACTGTATAAATTTACATTGAAAATTGAGTTCAGATGTACATAAAACTGATTTGTGGTAAGAAATAAATTGTTTTAGAAAAATTGTTTCACAGGGACCATCAACCATTGATTTACTAAAATTTATATTTCAATTAATCTGTCAGATAATTATACTAATGTTGTTACAGTATATAAAATACTTTTAAGAGCTCCAGTATCAGTTGCATCAGCAGAAATATCCTTCTCGCAGTCAGAAATGAAAAATTCTAGTTAAGATCTTGCATTTAATAAGAGCACTTGACATTGCTTTCATTTATATGCTTAAAAATGAAGTTGCTCCAGGCATGAATTTTGCTAACCTCATAAATTAATTTGCAGAAAAGTGAGTCATAACATTGTATTAATTAAGATATCATATTAAAGTGTTATATTAATTTATGATACCAAATTTTTAAACCAATTTTATGTTTTTTCTTATGTATCATTATAAAACCTATTGTGTTTTATAAGTAATAAAATATTTTAAGGAAAAAACCTTTACATTTTATTACCTAATGGCCATTTTTCCTGCTTTTTGAATAAGAAATCCTAAATTTTCATTTTGCACTGAGTCCTACAAATGTACAGCCAGCCTAGCTGGGAATCTTGAATCCCCAAGCTAAGTTTTGAAGGAGGGATTTTGATGCCTGAAAGCAATCAGGATGTTTGAGAAAGTGCCTTTTGCTTTACATATTAGTAAACTCCTATACTTCCTCCATGTTCTCCAAGTTGCTGAGGGGGGTGTGTGTGTGTGCGTGTGTGTGTGTGTGTGTTTCCTTTAAGAGAGACATGATACGTTATTAAGATAAGAAATAGATCTCCAGAAGGGAGAATCCTGCCTCCTGATAGCCCAGCCATGGTGTCCTCCCTCATATCACTGCTTGTGATGGCCTTTATGCTTAGCAAGTGAAGTCTCATTTTATTTCATTTTACTATGGATTTAGGCTCCCCTTGATCCATCACCTATCACTAATGTTATAGGAGGAATGAAAGCTCACATAGGAACTCATCCAGAGAACCTTGTCTTTGCTTCTGAAGGGGCCCAAGGATTGGTTAGGGTAACCTCAGACCCACTAGATTGCATATAGATGTGAAAATGGTTTTGGGGTTCCATGATGCAAGACCATTTCTCCTTGCATTCCCATACTTCACACTGTGCACAACTAGTCCTTAGTAAATATTTTCTCTGTTAAATAGAATAAAATAATTTTACAGCCAGAAAAGCACTTAGAAATATTTTAGTTCAATTTCACTTTACAAAGAGAGAAACCGTATCCAAGATGCCAGTATGAAACCATTAGATGAGCCGGGAATAGAAAGAAACTGGATTTCCTCCCTTCCTCCTTAGTATTGTTTCCACTGCCTCATTCCTGCAGGACCACATTGCTGAGCAAAGAGAAACTGATGAAAATCCAGCCACTTTGACCTCTGCAGTTTGGGTCTGGGAAAGACTTGGTCCAATCAGTTTGACCATGAGAATGGAGAGTTCCAATTTGTGTAAACATTTGCCACTTTGGGCAAGAAAGATACTCAGGCGGAGACACTGTTATTTTACCAGCAAATCAGTCCATGCCTCACTGGCTTCTGTCGGAGTGAGCTAAAAGTGATGGTGCCATCCTCAACCCCTGGATGTATTTCTGAGAACTTTCCTAAAAATAGTAAGGTATATATATACCTTATGGTGGGTGGATATTCCTTGAAAGAAGGATGTGAACATAAGCAGCATCACTCTACATTGTTTAAAAATGATCACTGAAATTGGGAAGCTAAGGGAAACATTGACCTTATGTAGCTGACAGTTCATGAAGGTGCTGGAAAAGCTTTTCTAGGCCAACGCTTTGATAATGAGTCTGGCAAAATTCAACGAAATAATCGCCAGACTGGGAATTTTGTCCAGAGCATGGCTATATTCAAGGTACAGTTAATACACGGAATGCTGTGCTCCATATGTGTGGTCATATTTAGACCATTACATTCAGTTCTGAATGCCATGACTCAAAAGAACAAATAATAACCTATGTATCTGTCTCCAAGAAAAAAGTAATTTGCTCAGTGAAGATTTGATAATTGTATTGTATGAGGAATGAGTGAGATAACTGAAGATCCTTAGAATGGAGAAATTTCATATATGTAAAAACACACATTATATAAATCCATATATATTTATGTATTGAGTTGAGATTCTTAATCATAGCTGTCTGAAAATATTTAAGGGTGTGAGATGTGAATAAATAATTAGATTTAGTCTCTATAACTCCAGGAGACTAGAGAGTACAAATCACAGGAAAGGGGCTTTCCTCCTAGAAATGAGATAGTGTTGGTTTCCCAGGTAGCATTTCTCATGATCAGTATTTTACTGTCAGTTTTCTATTTGTACTATTCTGCTAATAGACACAGGAAATACTTAGCCTTCCATTAATTTATTCTTACAGAAGTAATTTTAAAATATAAAAAATTAAAGTAGATTAGAAAGATTTTTTTTTTTTTTTTTGGCAGAAAGAGATAAACCTGGAAATATACAGGACTGAAGGACTTTCTCAATATCTTGGAGAAAAACATTATGGTGGAGTTTGGGAGAAAAATGGTAGATATGGAATCTGTGCCAGCAATGGCTGAGGCAACAGCAGTTCATGACAGAAGAGTTGGCTCGTACTTTAGAGGAAATTCCACTAAAGATATGAGTCAGTCACTGTATTTAAGGACATATCATATTGATATCATCCACTTTGATATCAAAAAATAAAATTATTTCAACAATAAAGTTACATATGGTTATATTTTTTGAATCTGCAGCCTGATGTTTTCTGAGAATTTCTTCTTGTTTTTTTCAACACTTTGCAGAAAGCAGGACATATAGCAATAGGAAAAGACTTCTTAAAACATGCCAGATTTCTCCTCACAAAACAGCCCAGTCAGTGGGTCAAACTATTCCTACTGTTGGAGTAGGAATAACTCATGGAACTTGTCCCCCTCCTCCTTTATCATTGTACTTTAATTTTTTACTTTTTATTAAAGCCATCTTTACTGAAGAAATATTCAACACTTTGATTGTTGGTACTATCAGTTCTCTGGAAATAGCAAGGTCATGGCCAAGACCAGGCTTGGAGAAGCAGAACCTGAGATAATATGCACTTGAAATATTGAGTGGTCCTCTCTCTTTTGCTCTGATCTTTGGCTTACGTATTGCTTAAAGAAAGAGTTTTTCTCCATAACAAACAAGTCATGATGGTAGACTTAACCTAAAAGGAAAGGAATTATTTTTTCTTTGTTTATGTATTTTCTCAATTTCAAACATATAAACTCAGCCCATCATTGAATAAACATCAACAGCATCTACTTCTTTATAATTTATGAATAATGAATCAGCAGTGTGCATAATTATAGAGTTAGATCTCTACATTCTTACTGTGCATTTAATCTCTGATTGAACACCCGGTTTGTTTGACTCATTGCTGCTTTTGTGCACCTGAGTGCCTCATAGGATTGGAGAAAAACATTCAACCAGCAAGTTCAGTAGTTAGAGATGTGACCACAAGGTGGTAGTGCTCCTCTGCTCAGGCAGAATAGAGGGTTCATTTAGTGTGTCCTGAATGACTAGGTTTATGGTAGAAGCAGAGCCTTTTTCTTATTGGTTGGGTACACAACGTGAGAAACCCCTGTGGTTGTTAGAGGAGAGAAGGGACAACCTGATGACAGAAGTAACTCTTATAACTGGAGGTTGCAGGTCAATGACTCATCTTAATTGGGAAGAACAGTGATGACATCCATTCGAGCTGTATTTATATTCTTGTGGCTGCAGCTGGACTGTGAGTTGAGGGTATTTGGGTAACAGAGTATATTAGCGAATATTCTTTAGAAGTTCAAAGTGGAGACTTGTTTTATTCAGGTTTCCTCTCTTTAGTACGAAAAATAATTCTAGAGAGTAATGACCTAACAATCCCTCTTTTTTCTCTGATTTTTTCTTTCTGCATAGTGGTGAATGGAGAGAATGTGGAGCAGCATCCTTCAATCCTGAGTGTCCAGGAGGGAGACAGCTCTGTTATCAAGTGTACTTATTCAGACAGTGCCTCAAACTACTTCCCTTGGTATAAGCAAGAACTTGGAAAAGAACCTCAGTTCATTATAGACATTCGTTCAAATGCACATGAAAAGAAAGACCAAAGAATTACTGTTTTATTGAACAAGACAGCCAAACATTTCTCTCTGCACATCACAGAGACCCAACCTGGAGACTCAGCTGTCTACTTCTGCGCAGCGAGTACACATTGCTTCCCAGGCACCTGCTACCCGTACACAAACCTGAGACTGGAGCTGAAGCTACAACTCCTTTCTTTTGTCATAGACCTTCAAGTATAGCATTTGTCATATTGTTTGTTTGCAAGTTGAAACTAACATATTGACATCAAAAGCATATAATGAAAAGGTTAGGTTCAAGGTGACATGGAAAGGTTTAGGGCATTTTGTTGGCTGATTGTTGCCTAATTAATTTTTTCTAACATTTATATTATTGTATATGTTTAAGGTATGCAACATGATGTTTTGACATACATAGTAAAAAATGAAGAGTCAGATGAAGAGATGTCTAGGGCAAGGTGTAGGGGAGGGGATGCCGAGCTTCCATGCCTTCTCTGGTTGTGCCTCCCTCCAGGCACCTCCATGTGTTCATTCAGCAATCAGAAGGCTCTGCTCAGTAGATTCTTAAAGGGAATCATTTAAAAATCTAGGCCTTAAAGATGACTTTACATTTTCCTATCAATTCAGACTCCTGTGCTATAAATAACCCCTTAATATCAATATCACAATCCCTATTATGAATGAGCTTTTCACTCTTGTCTTTTGAAACTCATTTTAGTTATTTGTTCTGATTGTAAAGCATTACATGACAAATATAGAAAGTATGTAAAAGTCCAGGCAAGGTGGCTCATGCTGGTAATCTCAGCACTTTGGGAGGCTGAGGAGGGTGGATCACAAGGTCAGGAGTTCAAGACTAGCCTGGTCAAGATGTTGAAAACTGGTTTCTACTAAAAATACAAAAATTAGGCCAGACGCGGTGGCTCATACCTGTAATCCCAGCACTTTGGGAGTCTGAGGTGGGAGGATCTTGGGAGTTCGAGACCAGCCTGGCCAGCATGGTGAAACCCCACCTTTACCAAAAATACAAAAAATTAGCTGGGCATGGTGCCATGAGCCTGTAATTCCAGTTACTTGGGAAGCTGAGGCAGGAGAATGGCTTGAACCTAGTAGGCGGAGGTTGCAGTGAGACAAGATCGCGCCACTGCACTCCAGCTGGGGCAACAGAGTGAGACTCTATCTCAAAAAGAAAAAAATGTAAAAAACATAAAATATGAAATGCATAATCCTATACTCAGATATTGTTTTGTTAATATTTGGTTTAGTTGCTTCATAGATTTTTATTATAATCAGAATCATGATTTTTTTCACTTACTATTATAATATTGTGAATTGAACATTCTTCATTTTATCATGTCCTCTCCTCATTTATGTTTAATTTATTATTTATGTTTAATAAGTTTTTATAAGTCACATTAATTTTTATTTTTCTTCTTCTCTATACTTGTGGTAAAATATGACATCCCTTTCCATCTGTTGTTTTTTGTTAAGAAAATATGACTGGGGTTTTCCTTTAGAGGCCAGTGAATATATATATTGCTTGTGTGTTTGAGGGAAATTAAGATAGGATGTAATTTGAGAATGTGAGCTTCAGAATAGACTTGCCAATCTATTATTTTCAACTCTTATTAATATGCTAGTATTTACTCTCTCATAGAATTTAGAAAGGATAGGTGTGTGTTTTAATAACTGCTATATCTGCAGAACCCAGCACAATCTTTTTCACACAGTTAATAGTCAGTAGATGTTTGTTAAAAAAAAAAAAGAAGAAAATGAAAAAAATTAATTATGCTACAGTAGTCAAAATTTTAATTTAGGCTTTGTGGTTAAATCAAACTTAAAAATTGATTTTTGAAGTATAAAACTTCTTAGAAATGTATGTTTGATTACCTGATTATTCAAGAACATAACGTTTGTTTTCATTTTTCTATGTCTTTCTCCCTGAAGCTTTATTGTTTTCAGATAAACTTATTCCTACACATTTAATTTTTATTGCCACCTTTATCCTTCTTTCTGTGGTAAATGGGAATTTTTTTACATACATTTTTCAGCTATCTTACTCAATTCCTTTTTTTTTTTTTGAGATGTAGTCTAGCTCTATAGCCCAGGCTGGAGTGCAGTGGAGCGATCTTGGCTCACTGCAATCTCTGCCTCCTGGCCTCCCAGGTTCAAGAAATCTAATGCTCACTGCAACCTCTGCCTCCTCGGTTCAAGAGATTCTCCTGCCTCAGCCTCCCAAGTAGCTGGGACTACAGGTTTGCACCACCATGCCCAACTAATTTTTTGTGTTTTTAGTAGAGACAGGGTTTCACATGCCCAGCTATTTTTTTTTGTATTTTCAGTAGAGATGGGGCTTCACCTTTTGGCTAGGATGGTCTTGATCTCCTGACCTCATGATCTGCCCGCCTTGGCCTCCCAAAGTGCTGGGATTACAGGCGTGAGCCACTGTGCCCAGCCTAATTTTTGTATTTTTAGTAGAGACGGGTTTTCACCATGTTAGCCAGGCTGGTCTCGAACTCCTGACCTCAAGTGATCAACCTGTCTCTGCCTCCCAAAGTGCTGGGATTACAGGCATGAGCCACTGTGACTGGCCCTATCTTACTCAATTCTTATTGTGGATTACAACGGGTCTTTGGACCAATGGCTAATTTACAGACAGCTTGCTACAAATCTCCCTACCTCATTTTCATGTTCTGACTGAATTAAACTTTACTACCACAATTTCTTTTAAAAGAGTTATATCTTTTAGTGTTGTAGATAAATCAGTGGAAATAAAGAAGGTGCATAAATAATTAATTCCCTATTTCTCCTACCTGTGGTCAAGGGTAGGCTAATTTCAAGATTTCTTATATTCTTCCTGAGGATGGATCTAATCAGCAATTGGCATAAAGAGAATAATTCCTCCTGTCTGAGTTATGGCTGTTATGGCTTGTTCTTATATGGAAAGTAATTAGATTAAATTAGGATTAAAATAGCTGGACAAGAAAGGTCAGCTGTTTCTTGTCTCTTCCAGCTCTGATGGCTGTCTGCATGTCTTGGCTTGTGGCTCCATCACTCTGATCTCTGCCTCTGTGGTTGCACTGCTTCTCTTCTTCTGTCATCTCCGTCTGCCTCCCTATTATAAGTATACATGTGATTACATTTAAGGCCCATATAATATAGGATAACTTCTCATCCCAGAATCTTTGACTTAATCATATCTGCAATGTCTTTTTTCCCTTGGCTATGTAAGATAACTTTCATGGATTCCAGGGACTGGGGCCTAACTTTTTTGGAGCCCTTATTTTGCCTACCGCAGTTGGCATGCCTGGTGCTATCTTTTTCACAAGTTGAGAAAGAAAATCAGAATTCCAGATAGAAAAATAGAAATCGCATCAATTGCCTCATTTTATTTTCTCAATTTTTACAATTTTCAGTTTTTAAATTACCACATAAAAAGGAACACGTTTTGATATGCAGTTCAATGTGTGAAATTTGAATTTTGATATATTGTATAGTTTGATATAACCATTACATAATTATGATACAAAACAGATTGCTCACCCCAAAAATTCCCTTGCACTGTCTGTGTGAAGTCACACCTTCTCCATCTCAAACTCCTTGCAAACCATGGTCCGTTCTTTTATATTTTTATCTTTTTCTGGATGTCACATGGACGGAATTGTACAATATATATCTTTTGAAAAGTCTGAATCTTGGTTAGAGAGAGCACACACCATTGGGCACATACATGATCATCATCTCTGCTACCACTCTGTTATTTCTGTACCTGAATGTCTTAAACTTTTGTCATGTTATAGGAATAACTCAGCATTTCAAATGTTTCAATTTCTTTGGAGGCTTGATTTACAGTTTAAAGAAACACTATGGCAAGTATAGTGTTTAAGGAAACAGTATGGCAATTGATAATGGAGAGATTCAGTTGAGAATTGAACCAACTCCTATAATCAGAGTTAAACACATCAAGTTTAGTTGTACCAACTCTACCCTAAATTTTTATCAATAGATATTTTCCTAACATTTTAAGGCTAAGTTTATTGATCAAAATTTATTTTAGTCATCTTAATTGGGTATGGTTAATACTTGGATTTTCCCAGGAGTTGGCATAGAATGACATATCTCACAATTATTTAAATTTTTTGCACTAGCTGTGGCTTTGTAGAGGTGAAAAGTGTTAGGATGGTTATCACCTCAAGTAAAGACTGTACCTAAGCAAATTATGTTATTAATGAAAGAACAAAGTAGAAAAAAATTACAGATATATGCAACGTTGTACCATTAAAGTTGAAAAATACCACTAAAAGGATGTAAAACAAAAGAATGCAAGGATAGTATAAAAACCAGTGGCTCCATCATCTAGACAATACTGTTCGATTATACATGGATGGAGCTGTCTACTTTATCCACCTACACGTGTGTTTCAAGGACCTGGGTCTGCACTCATTTTCTGAAAAACCCCTAAAGAGTCTCTGAAGAAACTCAGTTTAATATCTGTGATGTGAATGACTTCTCAATTCTCGTCATTCAAGGATGGATAATGTCAAGCTAATTGGTAAAAAGTAACCACAGATCAATTCCTCGTACTTTGTTGAATTGGTAATAAATAGTACCTAATAAGGTCATTTTCACAAGGTTGAAAGGCAGTCTTTCTCTGGAATTTTTTTCCAAATACCAACTCATCTGGGCTTAGGTCATATAAAGGCTGATTAAATGAAAGGCCAGGAAAGAAAACTGTACCTGTTGGTATAAGGACTGAGTATAATGGGTTTATTTATCTAGATAGGTTTGTGAAAGAATGAACTATATATGATTCCAGATACTAGGAGTAATATGGACCTACAAGTCACCAGTTGATAGTAAGACAACCTGTGATGTCAGGGTGAACAACTCAGGGCCATGAGAGCGAAGGGTAATAATGTATTAGGTCATGGAAGTTCAAGGATGTCTGATACCGTAATTAATTTTAGTTTTAATATTTCTCATGAGTTGTGTCTCCATTTATAGAGGATAAAGAGGGGATAAGAAAAGAGAAGTTCTGAATGAGGGCAAAACATTATATAATTGTCCCAGAAAAATATTTTCCTCTAGATATAGATGATTTGAAATGTCACAGGTAGGAACACAAAATTAAATTGATGTTCAGCCATTGTGAGCTCTGTGTATTTCTCACAAGAGAGTGCTTCAACCCATGTAGAAAATAAAACAACTCTTACTAGTGCATACTC